ATAAATACATATTCAGTCAAACTAATAAATGTCAAAACAGCCTCTTAAAATGTGTAAACATTTCTAGATATATAAAACTTAATTCTTACTAGTATAATTTGTTTTTTTTTATTTCTAATATTCAGTTTCTGCTACAAAAATGTAATTTAGAAAATATATTATTACAGTTCAGTCTAGGAGTGTGACTTTTATCAGGAAGAAACTTATTTTAGTGAACAGACAGGGCATTAAGCAGCAATCTTCTCCTTCACCATCTTCCGCTCTTTTGTAGCTTTAGCACTGGTTCTCTGTCTTTTAAACTTTATACTTGTTTTAAGCTAACAATATTCTTCTTTTCTTTTCATTCTACATTGATTTCTGGTTCCAGTGGGGTGAAATAGGCACTTCTTGTTGCCTGTTGTCATGGTGACTCGTTGCATCGGTGCTCCACTGATAATGGCTTTTCATACTTGTTACACACGTGTTCATCTTTGAGTTGATTGAATTAACTAGCCCGACATTAGGCTAGATCAATCTAAAGTTGCGGCTTTGAATAGGAGTTTGTGAAAACTGCTTTGTGAAATGGACCTCTGTACTTAAACATAAACCAACCATCAGTAAAAGGGAAAAAAGGCAGAAAATACAATAGTATTAACTGTAATACTGATCCAGATTATCATTCTGTGAATATCAGGGTAAAACAGGAGAACCTGGAGAACGAGGATCCACCGGATTTCCAGGTGCCCGCGGACCTGGTGGACAGAAGGCAAGTGACGGGTTTATACAAAATGTTTAACCTGTAAAACGTTGGTAAAATTAAAATTCTGCAAACAAAGAAACATTTTAATTCACTGAATCCTATAGTTAAAGGAAGTACAATTCAAGTGTAGTGAAATGTGCCATTATCTATTGAAGCAGTGTTATGTTTGATATTACCCAATTTGTGTGATTCTAACTCTAGTCATAGTTTGATTCAAACAGAACACTTCATGAGGAGCTGTTCAAGGCATCAGCTGATGTTACAGAAATGAAACTAGAACATCATTTATTATCTTTCTGTATTTTCTTCAGCCATTACATTATTGAGACAAGCATTGTTAATAGTTGCCCAAGGTAGTATATATAAGCTACATTTTTAGTAGCATTTTAATATGTTGATGAAAAGGTCTTTAGAGTGATAACAATACCAAAGAACAAGCAGTGTTGTTTTTTCTTCTGTTTTTTTTTCTTTTGTTTCCTTTTTAGCCAATATAGCTCTGGGAATTGATGCTCCAAGACTAGCTGATAGATCAGCAGCTTTGCTTTCAAAAGCAGACGCTTAAGGCTGTTGCCTTGAGGTTCTGCTTGATAGCTGTATATTAAACTTTATGAAACTAATTTTGGAGAGTAAAATCGAATACAATGGACATGGAAAGGAAGGTGAGAGAGAAAGAAGGGATAAGAACTAAGGGGAGAGAGAGAGAGAGATGAAGGTTTGCATGAAAATAGAGAAAATAAAACAAAAAAACAACACAGAAGATATACAGTAACTCCTTTATGTCTGCCTCCATACATGTATGAGATGAGAGGAACAGAAACAGAGAGCATTACAGCAAAAAGAAGACAACAAAAAAACCAAAGAAAACTTTTAAAAAAGCTTCAAGAGTAGCAGGTATTCATTCCATGTGTGTCGGAGTCAGAACTTACGATGATTACACAATATTAATCAGGGGGGGTATATATCTGTAGCTGAGGCTTAGTGTTTTGGTAGGTTAACAAGCAACGTTGTTAAGCTAGAGCTGTACAATATATCCATTGAGAATAGTAATTGCTCTATGGCTGAGCACAGTTGTTTGTGTGGGTATCATGATAAATAATAAAAGGGAGGAGGAATCCAAATTGTCATACAATTATTAAGAAGTTGCATGTTTTATTTGTGCAGGGAGAAGCAGGTGATCCTGGAGTTCCTGGTGAATCGGTGCATATTTTCACTTCTCTATATTCCATCTATTTGATGACTATTCCACCTGTAAGAGGTTTAACAAAAAATATTTTTGATTTGAATATTGTTAAAAGGGTTTACCCGGAAAAGATGGCCTATTGGGGCGTAAAGGGGAAAAGGGAGAAGTCGGTATCAGTGGACTGAGAGGAATCAAGGTATGGTGATTGTCTACATTCCAGTGTGTGTTTGTTTATCAAATATGTTTTCCTCCCTGCAGGGTTTTTGTTTGAGTTGGTGATGACTGCAACAACCTGTTAATAACATGTAGTTGTTAGAGTTGCAGAGTACTAATACAAATTGTGTCATACAATACACGGAAAATGCACAATGCTCATCTTTAAAAAGGGCTTTTGCTCTGAACTATTTCCTGTATTGTCGCATTTTTGCTCCTTAAAATTAACAATCAATAACATCAAATAGGGATTTGATGTTGATGTGAGGGTTCAGAGGCAGTCTGGTTAGACATAATCCCATTTCAACAGTTAGGGTTTGTCAACTGTCAACCTTGCACACAACTCGCCTATAGAACAGCACTTATCTTTAACATTTTAAACAGTATAATCATGAAGAGAGAGGGATCTCTGACAATGCATATTTGCACAGTTTCTCTTCAGATTGTCCGATTTTCTGGGTTATGTCTTAAACTTTCCTCTCTTAAGTTTATTCTACAGATTTTCAATATGTTTTAAATTTCCAAGTACTAAAGCGCCGTGGAAAAAAAGAATTGCTAAAAGAATCAGTGATGCCTCGTTTTTTGTTAGATGTATATAGTTCTTCAGGCGTTGATTTTTTCAAACATCCTTATATTTTAAAGCATTGATTATTATTGATAGTTAATAAATAGCCTTATAATTATTATAATTGTTAATGAAAAACTTTTTGAAAATGAGCTACTACAGCATTTAATTCCCCTTTAGATCAATAAAGTATTTTTGAACTTAATAGATTTCACTTACGCTGTGCACCTTTAAATGTTCTGCAAGCTTTTCAGAAAGAAGCTGGTCTACAGATGAATGTGTCTTCCACCATGCTAAGGACTATGCATGTTAGTCTTTTCCACAGTTTAATTCCTTGATCCAAGCCAAACCCACGTGAGGTGTTTGTTGCAGAAAATTGCAGAGCTGACGTATATAAATCATCTAATGTTGTTATGGAAACTTGGTGACTCAGTTGTCCTGCAGTTCCCTAAACAGTTAACTTTGGAGATTATTGTCCCCTCTGAGACAACTAAATTGTGTCTATTCTGAGTTCTGTTTTGTCAGCCATTCATGTAGAAGCAGAAGATATCTTTTAAAGGGCACTATGCTGATAACTGCCACTACTACAAAGGCTCTTGTCACTGCTACTTTACTGTAGAGTTTCAAAAAGAATACACCCTGAGATAAGAAAGCACAAACATTTTCATTATCTGTCTGGATTTACCATAAACCTTTACCATAACAATGCTGAATATAATCTGGTTTCTGTCTGAACCATCCACAGCTGCCCCTCTTAACATTTTCTTATCATGTCTTTACTATCTCAATACATATTACCTATAAAATAACATCCAGCTTTTCATTCTACCCAGTGTTGATGGAAACTTGTTGAAGAGCCTGTTTTATGTTCTGAATAATGTGATCAAGTAAAAGAACCATCTACACAGATGGGCTTTTTATTCAGCTGCTATGGTGCATTTTTGCCACTTAAAGACTCACATGCCTTTTTATATGCCTGTCAATGATGATCTCTGTGTTTCCAGGGCGACCGTGGACCCAAGGGGGCTTGTGGAGCTGATGGACCCAAAGGAGAAAAGGTTAGCTGCTTAGACAGGGAAATGAAAACTGAACAGGGAGAATAAATGTAGCAGACATTAGTTGATATAAGAAAAAAAAAAAATGTATTTTATCAGTTCTATTCAAACCTTAAGTCAAATATAGATGCAGTACA